AAGTTATAAACAATTGAAAACAGGGTTGTATAATGGGAAGTATTGAGCCCCATCAGTAGTAATTTTCCATAGCTTGGGTAGCAAATACATTTTGGATTCTACTGAGCACTGAAAAAAAACCCTCTAAAAAAGGGCAACTTCTTCTATGAAACATACTCAACTAATATTGAAATAATTGACGCATGTTAGAGGCCCTTCTCAAGGCACAGCTTCATTAAATCAAGGTTAATAGCAAAGTCTTATGCCTGACAATTTTAACTTTTTATATTTAATTTAAATTTTTCTGCACCATCTACCCTTTCTGGCTTATTTACCTGATTTTCTATTAAGTGAACAGCATGAACTTCTAATATTTAGTTCCAAAGATCAAGCATCGTGTTCTTATCTAACACAAATGTCGAGGTGTCAGCCTGATTATACCCTTTGTTGCACAAATAGGCAGCAAAACACAGAGAGTGGATTTCAAAAATGCTCAGCATTGGTCTAATTCTAACATTGAAGTCAATGTTATTGACTTTAATAGTATTGATTCAATGGGAGAAGAGTTTGGCCAACACTGAGTACTTTTGAAAATCGCACCTAGCTACCCTTATGACTTCAGTACACTCTGTTTGCATTGCTGTATCTCTGTAGAGGAAAAATCAGTTACCAGCTTTGGTTTAATGTTTATTACCCCAGAATACATGTAATCCTAAAAGTGTGAGTCAAATTTTAAAGACATAGCATTTGTCTGACATAAAAGCACAGCTGGCTTTTATGAACAAATATTATGTATCATATAATTAGCAATTATTACATTTTTCCCCATGTATATTTATTTGCAAGGCATGTGACATAAATCAGGCATTGAGTGGTACGTGCTTTTCTAAAGAAAATCTCAAGATGTGATATTTTAGAAAAATTAGAACAATTATATTTATATTGATGTGTGTGTATGTATGTGTGTGTATTTGTGAATTATAGTTTGTGACAAATGAAGGTTATACCCTAGTAACTTAGTTCAAATGTATTGTCTCTGCGTATTCGTACTTTTGGGGTATGCTTTAGAACCTTCTAGAAAGCAGTGCTGAACTAAGGAGCTCTAATTAATCAAACATTGCAGGAATGCCCTGGAAGATTGAGCATCAGATCTATATATCAAGTTGAAGGCATAATAAACAAATCTGTATAGCAGTGAAGGTAGCATTCCTACAAAATAAAATAGAAACATTACAAAGTTATACTAAATGACACTCCTTTAGCTCATGAGTCCTAAGGCCCTGAGGTACTATCACTATGGCTTAGACATAGCCTAATCCACATAGACAGACATAGAGTGGAGAACACATTCTTTTTACATGGATCTCCAAAGGCTATAAACAAGGAGTAGGTGAATTCCTAAAAATTATTTTTCTATCCACATAAAAGAAAAGGTAAATGAGACAGTCTATTTTCAGGCCCCAGTCTTGAAAAGGTTTCTCAAGCATGGACTTTTACTCCAGAGTGGAGTTCTCTTTTCCACCTTAACTACTGGACGCAGATTACATACGAAGAAAATCTTTATGCTGTGTACAAATACTAGACTAGCCGTCAAGTAGCCAAAGCTCGCTCTGCGTGCGTGCGTGTGTGTGTGTGTAATATTTCACATATATCAAATAAACTTCTATAATAGCATATGGCCATAAAAGGCAGTATGGTCTAGGGCGCAGGCTAGTGTGCCAAAAGACATAGGCTTGATTCCCTGCTTAGCCCCTAACCTGTTGTGCAACCTCAGACAACTTACTTAACCTTTTTGTTCCTTTTTTCACCTCCGACCCTTTGTCATGTCTATTTAGATTGTAAACTCTTAGGGCATGTCTACACTTACCTCTGGAGTGATCAATCCAGCGGGGGTCGATTTATCGCGTCTAGTGAAGACGTGATAAATTGACTGCCGAGCGCTTTCCCGTCAATTCTGGTACTCTACTGTAGCGAGAAGCATAGGCGGAGTTGACGGGGGAGCATCAGTTGTCAACCTACCGCAGTGAAGACACCACGGTAAGTAGATCTAAGTACATCAACTTCAGCTACATTATTCACATAGCTGAAGTTGTGTAACTTAGATCGATACCCCACCACAGACACCACCAGTGTAGAGCAGGCCTTAGAGGCAAGGACTGTCTCGCACTATGTTTTTTACAGAGTGTAGTAAAATGAGGCTTCAGTATCAACAAGTCTTTGCATTTTTCTAATATTACACGTTCATAAAGAAAATCTAATTAAGCTGTACACATATAAAACTATATTAGGCTCTGATCCTTCAAGGGGAGCCACTAGTGTGGACTTTTGTTCCCAGATAAAATTCTGTCGACTCTGTAGGGGGATTACCTGTGTTCAGTTGTTATTTGATTTACTTTACTATTTGTACACAGTATAAAGAGTCAGTTCTTATGGTATTTTCATATAGTAAGTGTGATTAAAAGTGTATATATAAATACAAATATATTTTGCTTTTCAGGATTACAATACACACTTTCAGTATGAAATAATGGGAACAGTTCTAAAGCTAATGCTCAGACAAACAAGTATCTGTAATGCAATGCACGTAAAAAGTAATGGAGAAACTAAACCAAATGGTGTGAACTTCAATAGAAAACAGTTCTCGTGAGAAGCAATTTTTACAGAGCTCTTGAATGATTTATGCAACCAGTATTTCATTGATGGTTGTTTTCCAAAGTGGGTCAAGAACACATATGTTTATAACACATACAGAAATTATGTTAAATTGTAAGGCTCTGATAAACTCAACAAAGCCAAACACATTTAGGATTAAGACTTTAGTTCTGTCCACAGCACATTCCCCTGTGCCTCAGTAATTGCAGAGTTGCAAAGGCTAGAGATCAATGCTTTTATGTTATGAGTTAAAGATTAATTGGAAGCCTTATCACTGAATTTTCTTACTTTCTTGGGTTAAAGTCAAACCATTAAAACAACATTAATGTATTTTTTCTATACTAATTTCCTTTTATTAATGGTAGTTAAAAGGAAAAAAGAGCTCATAGGAAGAGCCTTTAAAAATCTATTCTGTAGGTCCTCACCAGGGATCTATATCGATCCCTAAATAGAAAATTCAGGAGAAATTGGATGTGGAATCTGTACAGTGAAGTACTTGGGATGGGAAAAGGCATTCAGATATTAGGTGGTGAGTATGACATCGATAGATCGTTTCTGCCATTCTTACATTCATTCGTACCTTTTTCCATGTGTAGTTTAGCTGAAGTCAATGGGCCTACTTGTGGAGTAAAGTCCTACTCAACATAAGCAAAGGTGGCAGAGTTTGGCCCAAAATGTATTGTGTCTAGTTATGTCCAGTTTTAAAACAGCACATGACAATTGCTTTGCATATCTTTGAAAAACAGAAAACTGAACAAGAAAGTTTTCTTTTGTCATCCCTTGCCTGGCTTTTATTTAACTGATACCAGTCATTACCAGGAAACAAAGATTCCTGAATTCAGAGCTTAACAGAATAACATTATCTGTAGTTGTTAGTATTATAATATTTACTTCTACCCTGGAAATATGCATGTACATGCTGTTGATGATTTAAATTTTTTAATAGTTTTTTTTAAAAACATTACTAAAACTTCTAAAGATAGTTTGCCTTCTTTTACTTGGACTACAGTCCAGGTACAAAATACATATGTTATCCTGTGAGTAAGCACAATGTTTTATGCTTAGAGGTATGCACAATAAAATATTTCCCTGCCATATGAGCTTAACTATATTTAATTGTGCTATATTAATCAAGATATGTAATTATCTTCCAGTTATACTGGATCATCACTGTTTAATTAAAACGGAGACCTATTCATTGCACTAATAATTGTTTGTATGAGTCTTTTTTCTTGAGAAAATCTTTTTAACGTGATAGAATAAATTATGTAATATTTTACCTTTGGATGGTTATTTGTTTTCAGTTAATTGTAATTATCACTGGCATAAATTAAAGAAGTTATTATTAACATTAATAAATGCTTTATTATACCTAGAACATTTCCCCATTTCCAGGATGTGAAGAACTGGGAAATAACTGATTTATTTTTATAAATATTGTGCTTGCCTTTGTGTGTTTATGATGGGTTGCTTTTTATGGAGTTAGATGAAAATGGGGCTGTTAAGGGAACCAAGCAGGGGAAATAGCCTAGATAAGGAGCATCCTAACATAATAGCCTATATAAGGAGCATCCTAACAAACACAATGGCCAAGTTAATAGCTGTGAAGAGGCAATGCCTTGGTCCCACCCATAGTTACATAGCTGTTTTGCCAAGGCTGAGAACCTGGAGTCCAGGGAGATTACTGATGAACCCAGGAAGTTGAATAGCAGATACTGCCTCCTCAGCCACTCCGGAACCTGCATGGGGCATAATAATAACCAAAAACTTCCCCCACCAAACCTGCAACCAGCGTCCGGCGGCCACAGCTGTGCCAGGGCAGGCTTAGCCTACTCTGGCCTAATATAACCACCGCCCATGGTGCTAGGTATCACATTTGGCAGACAGGCAGGGGTATAACCTGGAGACCCAGTCAGAGAGCGGTTAAATAGCAGGGTCTCACCCAATGATAAGTGAAGACATAGGCCTGACACTTGAAAGGGGTGCACGTGGAGAACTGAAACAGGGTCTCAGAAGGAGCAGTTTACCCGGGCACCATGATACATGACATAAACACATTATTTCTAAGGCTTATCAGAATGACGTAATTCACAAGTGGGCAATTACTATTACTAGAGAAATTCTCCAGTCTCCATTTTGCTTTTCTAATCTTTATTCTGAATAAGCAAAAGTCAGTCCACCTTGAGATGAACATTCCAGACCCTGAGAATGCTCAGTGAAAACCCAGGATTTCTAAAAATGGTACCCTGGCAAAGAGCCAAGTATATGTGTGTGTGGATCGGCAAAATCACAGCTCTGAGGTAAATGACAGCAGTGAGCATGTGCAAGATCGGTGGCTACTGAGCATGTGCAGTAAGGGGTGACAGAGAGGCCAGTTAACTGACCATCTTTAGTGGTTATAGCCCACTCATACCGGTCACAACTTGTTCTAAAGGTCAGAACTGTCAATGATAATTCTGAAGTAATGGTTAATACTGAGCATGTACGGATGAGGCTATTGCTTCTAAGAATAGAAAGGTATATTAAGAGAGAGTCAGAGTGCAGCATAAAAAGCCAGCTGCCAGCAGGCAGATTTGCAGATGGAGAAAATCTGGATTGGAAAGAGAGAGAGAGATTAGATCAGGAGAAGACAGGGAACTGGAAGCCAGCAAAGAGAAAGCTGATGGAAAGAAATAAGAAAAGCTGTGTCAGAGAGAGAGAGAAGAAATCAGAGCACAGCAAAGCTGACTAACCAGGAGCTGAATAGCAACAGTGAGTAAAGATTTACAAAGCAGCAACAGTGATTTTAAAGGCATACCAATGGATTAAAATGTAAGCTTGTAATTTTTGTATATGATTTTTAGTGTAGTATAATTTAGTATAATATTATATATGTGTATAATTGGAGTATATGTGTGTGTTTTAATTGCATTTTATTTATGTAAAACGTAAAGTATAATTTAAGAACTGCTGTCAGAGATTTTTTTGCAAACTGGCCACTTGTAACAAATTGCTTCGCTTAGAATCATTTGATTTATATGCTATTGTAGTTTAAATGCTCTTTAATGTGCAATGTGGGATTGGTGCCAGTGACTTTGTGCCTTGTTTAGGATTGTTAGATTATATTGTATTGGAGATTATTAGTTATTTTAATAAAAGACACTTTGTTTTGGAAGGAATGCTGCCTGTGTCAATTACTTTATTGGAAGGCTATATCTGGGTCTTTTAGTGTTTCCTTAACAACCCTGGAAACTTTTACCTCGGGAAGAACAGACTAAGGGGGCTATAGGCAGGGTGTTATAGCAGTGTCCCAAAATCCGTTTTTTGGAGTAACACCAGCATGGCTCCCACTGCTTGTCTGTTTCACTTTGGGGGCATGTGCACATTGATGGACATCTCTGCTGTTCCTCTCCAGTGTGCTGCCATGAGTCAGGCAGGTACTCAGACAACACTGTACAACAGTCTGGTGTCTGCTGGTCCCAATTGTGCTCTCCTGCCCAGTCTCTAAACCATTGAGAACCTCTACTCTCACACACAGTCCCATATGCAATTTGTGTTGGCCATCATAGGACTCCTTCCTCAAACCACATATGGTGCATCCCTGGCCATACTGTCATAGCAGTCTTCACTGATCAACTTAATACCTCTTTCTACTGCAGTCTGCAAAGGAGGAGTAAGCTGAATATCATCAACATCACACCTTTGCAGCCTTCATTTATTTTCTGGCTACTGGTCCCCCACCTACCTCAACTTGATTTTCCAGGTGCCAGATGAAACAACCAGAAAGTTCCTGTAGCTGCCTGTCCTTAGTTGTGCAATTTGGTGCTGTGGTCTGAGGTGAGCCTATTTATTTTCTTCAAAGAGGCAAGTAATAAGGGTGAGGAATAGGTATTATATACACTTGACTTATACCCGGTGGGGGGTGGGGGAGGAATAACTCAGTGGTTTGAGCATTGGCCCGCTAAACCCAGGATTGTGAATTCAATCCTTGAGAGGGCAATTTAGGGATCTGGGGCAAAAATCTGTCAGGGACAGTACTTGGTCCTGTTGTGAAGGCAGGGGACTGGACTCAATGACCTTTCAACGTCCCTTCCAGTTCTATGAGATAAGTATTAATACCTTTATATTTTTTTTGTGGCTTGTTCCAGTTACCTCAGGAAAATTATCTGTTTTTCAGTGCCATCTATCTAGCCCCTTATCTCTCTGTCCGGAGACTCACAGGCCTTGTGTAGACTAGGATAAAAGGTGAATTGTTAACTAACACATTCTAACTAACATGTTTGAAAAACCACATTGCCTTCAACATGTGCTAAACTGGTTGAGTTAAAGGCCATGGGGGAACCCAGGATTTAACGTGACCAATTTAGCATATGTTAAAGCAGCGGTTCTCAAATTTTAGAAACCTGAGGACCCCCATTTTGATTTAAAAAATTTTGGGGACCCCCAAGCACCCCACTCAGCCTTTGCCCTTCCCTATCCCTTCCCAGAGATCACACCCCTGCCCCGCCTCTTCTTCAAGGCCCCGCCCCTGCTCACTCCATCCCCCCTCCCTCCATCGCTCGCTCTCCTCCACCCTCACTCACTTTCACCAGGCTGGGGCAGGGGGTTGGGGTGCAGAAGGGGGTGCGAGGTGCAGGCTCTGGGAGGGAGATTGGGTGCAGGAGGGGGTGTGGGGTGCAGGCTCTGGGAGAGAGATTGGGAGTGGGAGGGGGTGCGGGTGCTGGGAGGGAGTTTGGGTGCGGAACTGAGTGTGGGATGCAGGCTCTGGGAGGGACTTTGGGTGCAGGCTCTGGGTTGGGGCAGGGAGTTGGAATGCGGGAGGGGGTGAGGGGTGCGGGCTCCGGCCAGGGGTGCTTACCTTGGGCAGCTCCTGAAAGTGACCAGCACATCTGTCTGGCAGTGGTTCCTAGGCAGGGGGGCCAGGGGGTCTCCATGCACTGCCCCTGCCCACAGGCATCACCCCTGCAGCTCCCATTGGCCACAGTTCCCAGCCAATGGGAGCTGCGGAGTCAGTGCTCGGGGCAGGGGCAGCGCGCAGAGACCCCGTGCCTTCTCCCCCACAGGGGCTGCAGGGACATGCCGGCCGCTTCCGGGAGCGTAGTGTAGCCAGGGCACATAGGGAGCCTGCCTTAGCCCCACTGTGCCACCAGACTTTTAGCGTCTAAAATCCCGTGGTTTGGTTTCAGTAGCCTCCGGGAGATAGAGCCTGATTCTGGGAGATGCTGGGAGGGAGGGAGAGAAATTGAGGGAGGGAGGGGGAAGAGTTGATCAGCGGGCCCCACGGACCCCCTGGAGGATCCTTGGGGACCTCAAGGGTCTGCGAACCCCAGTTTGAGAAATGTTGTGTTAAAGTACACACTGCCATGTTTACTGGTATGTTAGTTAGAACTGGTTAGGTAACACATTCTAACTACATACCTTTAAATCCTAGTTTAGACAATGCCACAGATTCCAATAACTCTCTAAATTTAAACCTTGTTTTCTAGGAAATTGCATATGTTGAGTTGAATTTTTAATATGTTTTCCAGTGAGGGCTTTGCCTCTCATTTTAAAAGAGGAGATTGGTTGCTAACTTAGCACCCTTGGAATCACACATTTGCTATACTCACCTCTTAGCATAATTAATTTTTTTTTACTCTTAAATGTTGGAAGTTATGGTGTCACTGATGAAGTTGCTGCTAAGGCCTCCTCCATCCACTCTTCTAATATTGACTCATCCATATCTCTTATTTCTGACATTTTCCCCCCAAGAACTGAGCTACTGTGGGAGGCCATGCAGTCATGTACTTGAAATTAAAACATAGCATTGTGTTGACTGTGTAATTCTAGCTACTGAGTATGCAGCAATATGAAGTTACAGCTGGACTTTCTTTCAAGGAGGAGGATGTACAGTGTTTTTTTCCTGAAGGTGAAGTGAGTGTCTGGTTCTCTCACGTTCCTCCCTCCGCCTCTACTGTAACACTACTTCTGCTGAACTTACTGAGAGAAATATTACTCCAAGAAAATATAATAGAAAAACAGTGAAATCCTGGCTGATGATTTTACCAAGCCTGTCTGGAGATCAAACACTAAGATGTGATTTTAAGGACCACATATTCTAATCTAATTTACAGATATTTAACTCTATTTATTTCAGCAGGGATGTAGTGGGATGGTTGATGACAAAGATGTGTCCTGTAATTTTAATTTAAACCCAATTTCTCTCTTTCCTTCTTAGCACAAGCCATGTGATCCATCCCCAGTATGAAGATCTTTGTCTTAGCCTTGATTATTTCTTCTCTCAACTACTACAACAGCCTCCTCTCTGGCTTCTCAGACATTTACCCATTAGAAACAAAGAGAAAATGGTGTTTCGCTTCAAGGCTCAGAAAACCACTCAGGAAAGGCACATTCTAATCTGTATAAAGCAACAGTGCACTATTTTTGTGTATTTGTTGTATCATTTATGCCACACCAAGGTTTACTATGTAATGCTAGTTGTTAAAATACAGGACTGAAAATCAGAGGGCTGGGTTCTATCTTACTGTACTGCAAATTTGCTCTATGACTTTGGGCAAGTCAGTTATTGCCTCTGCTTAAATGTTATCATCTGTGAAATGGAGAAAGTACACGTTGTGACATCCCTCAGGGTACTTGCTGGACTTTTGAACAGAGGTATCCCCTTAATTCCCAGCCCAGTGTGTCTCTTACACTGCTCTGCTAGTGAAAAGCAGCCTTTTCAGGTTTTGCTCACACAACCATTAGCATGTAAAGAAACACCCAGCAAAGTTACATGAATGCTCTCCCAGCTACTCAGGAACTGTATGCAGGGTAACACCTGCAAATCCTTCAGCCTTGCATCCCAGAAATGTGTGTTTTACATTGCTCAAGACCCCCTTGATCGGAGTAAACAGATCAATTAGTTCATCATTTCATCAAAGGAAATGATCATGCTACAGCCTTTGTTAACCTGAGTAGAGATTCTCCAAGACACTTCAGTCAAAACACACTGGTTTAGATAAAATATTAAAACAAGTTTATTAACTAGAGAAAGATAGATTTTAAGTGTTTATAAGTGATAAAAGAATAGAAATCAGAATTAGTTACAAAAAGAAATAAAATGATAAAATCAGAATCCAATTCCTAAACTTTACCATGGCTAATAATTCTAAAAGCAAAATACGTTGTCTCACCATAATCTGCAATACATTTCACAGGCTGTCTCCTTTCAGCCTGGGACCACCCCTCCCACTGTTCAAGGATGGTTCCTTTTGTCTTCCAAATGCTCTTCCAGACATATGTAGAAATCGGGGGGAGAAGAGGTCATGAGAAAACCATTGTCTCTTATTTTATACCCTCCTCCTCTCCTTGAGGAATACCCCCTTCCTCTCGCTGGTGTGCAGACAATCAATCTATGGTATACGGGAGATTCAAAGCATCTTTCAGGTCAACTGTAAATTTCTTTCTCACACCTTCTGTGTACGTGATATTTGAAGCATCTTCGGGGATGACATGCAAAGCCTTTGTTTTACAGACATTTTGTTATTTCTAAATACCTAGTCTGTGGGTGTTCCCCAGACTCACCACATGTTTCAGTGACAAACATATAGCAAAATCTCATAACTCCCTATACAATGATGATACACACATATTAACAGGACAACAATGTTCAGTAGATCTCGTGTTTTCAGTTGATACGCCACAAGGCATATTTATACAAAATATACCATAACCATACAAAAGTGGTGAACATGGGGTACAGATGGGTTACAGGATGTCACACACATACCCTCCTCCCAGGCATGTACACAGATTTAGCTAATTAAAGTTTCTCAAGTGCTTTGAGATCCTAGGCACTGAAGAAGAGAATATTATTATTATTGCTATTTCTGGGAGTAGAAATGGAAGCAACTGAAGAAATTGTAAGTAGGGACAAAAGCAACCCTGTATGTCAAAAATTTGCAAATTTTGTGGGGTCAGGGTCTTTTTACAGATTTTATTGGTCCCCCACCTCCCAAATGCAAGGCCAAAAATTTCAAACTTGGGCATCTAAATAAACAGCCTGATTTTCAGCGATGGTGAACAACCACAGCTGAGGATAAGCTTGCAATTTAAAATAAAAAACAAATGATCTGATCCTTGAATAGGGAGTTTGGCATTAGGAAAATCTACAGGATCAAACTTGAAATTTCTAGCCCTCCTGGTTGTGAAGATAACTTCTGAATGTAAACAGTGGCTGTATAGAATCCTTTTCCAGTTGCAGCCAGACCAGTTGAAACCACAGCAATGCTAATGCAATTTATATAAAGTAATCTGGGCTCCTTACAACAAAACAAATAAGAGAGAAAGGGGATGATTTGTGCAGGCTTCATTCAGGCAAAACTCCCAAAGACGTTTGAGTAAAGACTGCAGGGTTTGGATCTTAATCACTATTAAATAGGCACGAATGTTGCGATTAACATTTAACAAAATCAGTAAAAAATCATAAATGACATAAAATTCTAAGAGGAATATGAAGTTTTTACATTCCACATTAACCATTTCACAGCTGACCCTTGTATCAGACACATCAAGCTGAGGCAGTTATCCATTCGAGCAGGATGTACTTGTTGCATCCTGACATTCCATTTATTTGAAAGGATGTTGCGCAAGAAAAAAGCTACAAGTTCTGAATATGTAAGTAACAGATTTGATTTTCAGTTACTGTCCTGAATGCCAATAATGGAGACATCTACTTCTGCCTTCTATTGTGAATGCCAATAACTGAGATGCCTGCTTTTAAAAATGTGGGTAAAAGTGCTGTGTTATAAGGATTGGACTATTGCTCTGCACTTTGAAGTACTTGTGTGTGTGTCTATGTATTTGTAAAACTTAATCCAGCCATGGATGCAGCTCTCTTTAATAACACTGAATCAGTTATCTTCACAACCAGGAGGGCTTTACACAATTTACTCCTTTGTGCTTCAGTTGCCAACAATGCCATTGTCTGCCATAGGCTTGCCTTACAAGCAGACTGCATTCTCATGTTGCATTCATTTTGATTTCCAAGTGGAAGTGGTATTAATGGGTTTCCTAGGCACCTACTACAAAAACAATTTGTCTTCTTGGCAGTCTCAGATACTCAGGAACTCTTATGTACTTGTCTTCACTTTGCAGATCATCTTTTTTTGGCACTTAAATATCACAGGAGGGACATCCTGAAGTAGAGATAGCACTTACAGTATTATGCAAGCTGTGCATCATTTCTTGGCTCTAAGGCTGTGCAAGGCTACTGGCATTTGGCTATAGACAGCAAAAAAAAAATCATTTACAGAAAACCCACTACCTCAGTACAATTTTGAACCACAAAAAATGCTTAATCTCATGGTGCTCATGGCCTGATGATACCTAGAAATTGGACTATATTTCTTTGTTCTTGCCTGAAACCTAATCTAGACTGAAGAACAGAAACACAGGATTTGGTTGGGTTTATTTTGTAGTCTAATATCATGAATAAAGTTTTCAGCATTAGAAAAGCTATATTTTCCATTTTATTTAATAATAAACAAAGATGTTTACTGTAATGCAGACATTCTAGCTTCCAGTTCAATCTTTGGTGATTTCAAATATCATTCTTGTGTTAAAAGCCATGACGTTTAAAAATTAGCTTTCTTTTAGAAATCATATAACCATTGAATGCAAAACAAAAAGGAGGAAATAGCTTTGATTGTTAAGCAGCAGTATGTGCTTTCAGTGCAGGAAATTCTAATTTGGTAGTTCATCTTTTGAAAGTATTTTTGTAAAGGTCAATGTGAAAGACAGTGATTTATTATGGTCTTGGTTCAGCAAGGTAATTAAGCACATGTATAACTTTAAACACATGAGTGGCTGCATTCAGACTCATTGGTATCAGAGTGCCTTCCAGTAGTGCATTATGTTATGTGATTAGCATCTGCCATTTGTGGTTCCTTCTTTCTATCTTCCTGTCCCCTGGGATGAGATTGCATATGGATTTCATTTGTTTGTGTTTATTTGAAGAAGTATGCCTTGTGCTTGTAATGGAAAGTGGTGATGTTTGTGATGGTTCTTAGACTGTACAGAAGTTTGTTCCAGTTTTAGTCTGGTCCCATAGAAAGCTTTCCCACACAAACACACTTTCTTGTTGTAAAAAGTTTCATTGGACTAGAGAAGTGGAGTTGTCCACCAGGGTCCTCAACACAGAACTTCAGGTGATCTTCTAGGTACCCTGTGACATTAAGTTCTAATATGTACAGTTAGAAAAAAAGGAGCTATGCGCCCATCCTCCATATTCTTGATCCTGAGGAGAGACTGGGAATGCAAAAGAAAAAATTCTAGAGGTCAAGGGGGTAGAGAGACCTCCGATCTCCTTTGAGTGTGACAGTGTGCTTAGAAAGTCTTCTTTGGAGAATACATGTACAAACAACTCATTTAGGTGGAAAAGTGGGGAGAAGAAGAGCATAAAGACAACACCGGAGGGTGAGCTAGCTACCAGAATTACCCTTCTGTGTTGCTACCTGTAAGGTAAGTTTCTTTAAAGCTGTAGCAGGAAATGAGGCAGGAGCAGCTGGGGAACATTCTGTGCAGAATCTCTGCATTGAAGCAGAGAGACAGAGTAGCATTAGAGACAGTATTTTTTCCCCTTATTCTAATAAGACTTCTTGTTCAGTATTGGAAGAATGTGACTTTCTGTGATTCTGTATCATTGTCACAAAGCATTAGCACCTCCTATGACTTAATGCAGAGGAATGCAATGGGAGAGAGAAGGTTTCACTGCTGCGTGTGTGTGTTTCTGGTATGTGTCTGTATCTGTGACTGAAAATGTGTCTACACTACAGAGTTAAGACTTGCGATGGAATAAATCAATAGAAAGGGGGTACTTCTCTATGGTATTGCAGGTCACCAAGGTCGTTTCACTGATATCAACTTGGGGTGGTCCGGGAAGATGCATGATACACGCATCTTCAGGAACACTGGCCTGTACAGAAAGCCACAAGCAGGGACTTTCTTTCCAGACTAGAAGATTCCAGTGGGGGATGTTGAAATGCCCATAGTGATTCTGGGAGTCCCAGCGTACCCCTTACTCCCATGGCTAAAGCCTTACACAGGAAACCTGACAGCAGCAAGGAGCACTTCAACAGGCTGAGCAGGTGAAAAATGACCATTGCATGTGCATTTGGCAGATTAAAAGCTCGCAGGTGCTCCTTTATGGTAGGTTAGAACTAAATGAGGAAAATATTCCCATGGTCATAGCAGCCTGCTGTGCACTGCACAGTATTTGTGAGTTTAAGGGTGAAAAGTTTCCCCAGAGGGTGGCATGTGGAGGCGGATCACCTGGTGGCTGAATTTGAGCAGCGAGATAGCAGGGCTATTAGAGGGGCATGGGAGGAGTTTGAGGGGGCATGGCAAACAGTTCTGTATGGGCTGCAGGGGGTGGGGGAGGTGAGCATGCATGTATTCTGCCTGCAACATGATTATGGACTTCAGCATATCTGGTTGCTCCTCCATCACTTTTATCATCTGCTCC